AAAAAAAAAAAAAAATTGTGAGCAGACATCAGCAGTTGCCATAGTGACGTGTCATTTTTTGGAATAAGCGGGACATCGATTGCAAGTAATGTGATTAGCCTGAGGTGCATCCAGAGGGTTGGCTGCACCAATATTCGTTTGGATCGGGTGTACATAACACCAATGGCCCCAGCCAATAAGGTCACGACCACTTGTAACAATGCCCATGGCATAGCTACTCGTACGAAGCCTGCTGTCAAATGTTTACTGCCATACAATGCCCATGGCATAGCTACTCGTACGAAGCATGCTGTCAAATGTTTACTGTCATAGCATAGAACTTAAAAAAAAATATTAGAATATCACTTGTGAGTTGTCCCACATCGTTCATACATGGAAAATAGATTCACCTTATAAGTCTAATGGGCTACTCCTCCTTCCACCAATTGGTTTTGGGATGGAACCCCATTTGGGCTTCATATGGGTTTTTTCCCGCTTTGGTGCGCTTCATGTTAGTGGGACCGCACACGTTTTTCCCCCAGTTTCTTACATGGTATCAGAGCCGGTTCTATTGGGACCGTGCGATGAAGTACCCGTTTACCCAGCCTGTTTCTAGTAGGGCTTGGACCCACGTACCCGTTTATGGGAGCCTGTTTCTAGTAGGGCTTGAGCTTGGGCTTTCAAAGGACTCACAAGTGAGGGGGCGTGTTAGAATATCACTTGTGAGTTGTCCCACATCGTTCATACATGGAAAATAGACCCACCTTATAGTCTAATGGGCTACTCCTCCTTCCACTAATTGATTTTGAGATGGAACCCCATTGGGCTTCATTTGGGTTTTCCCCACTTTGGTGCGCTTCATGTTAGTGGGCCCGCACCGTTTTCCCCCCAGTTTCTTTCGTGGTATCAGAGCTCGGTTCTATTGGGACCGTGCGATGATGTACTCGTTTATGGGTCCGCTGAAGTGTGCATTTGGTGTTAAGTCGGGGAAGTTTCTTGGGTTCATTGTTCGTCACCGTGGAATAGAGATCGAGCAAGCAAAAGTCGACGCGATACTAAGAATGCCCGAGCCTTGCAACATTCACGAGCTTAAAAGTCTGCAAGGAAAGTTGGCGTATCTTCGAAGGTTCATTTCAAATCTAGCCGGACGATGCCAATCTTTTAGTCATTTAATGAAGAAATGTGTTCCTTTTGAGTGGGATCAATCTTGTACAAATGTTTTCGAAAGCATAAAGGCATATCTGATGAAGTCTCCCGTGTTAGTTGCACCAGTGTCTGGTCGTCCTCTTATCCTGTACATAGCGGCACAAGAACGTTCTGTTGGAGCTTTGCTGGCTCAAGAAAATGACGATGTAAAGGAGAGTGCGTTATATTATTTGAGCAGAACGATGACGCCGAACGAGCCGAATTATTCACCGATTGAGAAAATATGTTTGGCATTGATCTTTGCAATTCAAAAGTTGAAGCATTATTTTCAAGCTCATACGGTCCGTCTTGTTTCAAGGGCAAATCCATTAAAATATGTCATGACAAGACCTGTCCTCTCAGATCGTTTAGCTAGGTGGTATCTTCAACTTCAACAGTTTGAAATCGTCTACATCCCTCAAAAGGCGGTAAAAGGACAAGTTCTTGCGGAGTTCTTAGCTGTTCACCCTATTCCTGTTGAGTGGGAGTTGTCCGATGAACTACCCGATGAAGATGTTCTTCTCATTGAAATAACTCCACCTTGGAAGATGTACTTTGATGGAGCGTCCCATAGAGAAGGAGCTGGTACTGGAGTCGTCTTTGTGACATCCCATGGAGAAGTGCTTCCGTATTCCTTCACTTTGACTGAAAATTGCTCAAACAACGTTGCGGAGTATCAAGCTCTAATTCTGGGGTTGGAGATAGCCGTGAACATGAAGCAACTACATCTGAGGGTTTATGGTGATTCAAAGCTAGTGGTAAACCAACTGCTTGGAGAATACGATGTAAAGAAGCCCGAGTTGCTCCCGTATGTCGACTATGCGAAAAGGCTCATGGGATGGCTTGGAGATGTTACGATCGAACATGTGTCGAGAAAGAATAATAAACAAGCTGATGCTTTGGCAAAACTCGCTTCTTCACTCATTCTTCCCGAGGATAAGGCTCGAGTGCAAATTTGTAGAAGTTGGGTTATACCTCCAATTTTCGACGACGATGATTGGAATGAAGATGAAATTCATGTTGTTGAAGTATTCGAAATTGAGAATGAAGATTGGCGCCAATCGCTCGTGGATTACTTAAAGTATGACAAATTGCCCAACGACCCACGACAAAGGGTTGATATTCGACGTCGTGCACCTCGCTTCATTTATTTCAATAATGTTTTGTATAGACGGTCGTTTGATGAAGTGTTCTTGAGATTCTTAGGCGACGAAGAAGCTGCTCAAGCCATGGAAGAAGCTCACTCGGGCATATGTGGCGCTCATCAGTCTGGTCCGAAGCTGCACTTCCGAATTAAGAGAATGGGGTACTATTGGCCGACAATGGTTAGAGATTGTATGTATTACGCCCAAAGATGTCAAGTGTGTCAGTTTCATGCAAATTTGATCCATCAACCTCCTGAGCCATTGCATCCTACTGTCGCTTCATGGCCTTTTGATGCTTGGGGATTAGATGTGGTTGGTCCTCAGACAAAGTTTTCGGGTGGTCATCTTTATATTTTGGCTGCGACTGACTACTTCTCGAAATGGGCTGAAGCGGTTCCCTTGAAAGAAGTGAAGAAGAAAAACGTTGCTGACTTTATTCGTGTAAACATCATCTACCGCTATGGAATTCCACGTTATATAATAACAGATAATGGGAAGCCTTTCAGCAACGGCTTGATCGATAAGCTTTGCGAGAAGTTCAACTTTAAGCAGAGAAAATCTTCTATGTACAATGCAACGGCGAATGGACTTCCTGAAGCATTCAATAAGACTCTGTGTAGTCTTTTGAAAAAAGTCGTAGCCAAGTCAAAGAGGGATTGGCACGAAAGAATTCATGAAGCGCTTTGGGCGTATCGCACCACCTATCGGACTCCCACTCAAGCGACTCCGTACTCGCTGGTATATGGTGTTGAAGCTGTCGTTCCCCTCGAACAACTAATCCCATCATTGAGGATCGTTATACAAGAAGGGTTGACCGAGGAAGATAATGCACGGCTGCGTCTCCAGGAATTAGAAACTCTTGATGAGAGGAGGTTGGAAGCGCAACAAAGACTTGAATGTTATCAAGCCCGTCTTTCAAAGTCGTTTAATAAGAGGGTCCGAGCTCGTTCTTTTCAAGTAGGAGATTTGGTACTTGCTGTGAGAAGACCCATCGTAACCACTCATCGTGTTGGAAACAAGTTCGTGTCAAGATGGGATGGACCATATGTCGTCACGGAGGTCTACACCAATGGCGCGTATAAGTTGATTTCGGAAGATCGAGTCAAGATTGGCCCTATCAGTGGGAAATTCTTGAAGCGCTACGAAGCTTAGTTGTATGTTGTATTAAAAAAAATCACACCTTTAATATGTATTAGAAAATAATTAATGATTGTTTGTATTATTTAATAATGTCCAAAGACTATGTCATCTACTTAGTTTGTACTTTTTATATGAAAAATTTTAGGGATCACAAATCGTGCTATCGTGTTGTATTTGTGTTTAACTATCATATATTCGTATTATTTGTTTTATATCTTGTTTTATGTCGCGTCGTGTCATGTCCTGCTCATTGTGTCATTTGTCTCTATAATCGTGATATCTTATCGTATCGAGTTCGTGCTTTATGCCATGCCAGCTATCGTGTCAGTGAATTCTTGATGTAAGTAATGCAAATTACCATACATTATGGTATGTAAGAAGAACGTGGCTTATAAGTTTGGCCTCTCAACTCACGCTCCAATGAAATCATATGTTAGATGCTATTGTTTGTTTAGAAGTATATACTACGTATATCATTAATAAGTGTGTTTGGCTGCTATTTATGTGCTTGATATCAAGCCTTTTGGTAATATACTAACAAATTTAATTTGTTTGAAATTAAATTAAAAGAAAAAAAAAACCATGATATAGCCTAAAGCCCAGTACACTTTCCGTAGTTTTGTTATTTGGTATCCCACAAACTGTATCACTTTGTTTCCTCCAATTGTCTCAAAATGACAATTCTTCTTTTCATTAACTACTCTTAGTGTATTTTTTGTTTTTGGTTGTTTACGGCCATAATCAAATAAATAAAAATTATTAATTTTCAATTCGGTCCTTCAACAAACAGAAAATCTCATAGTAGTTTCTATATTGTTATATCCATAACAATTTGATACTCTCTTTAATCAAAATCGTAAATTTTGTCCAATAAATACTTCTAACATTATTTTGCACAATATGGATGTCGAAGATCAATAGGAAGTTATTGATCCTACATTGAGGTGTTATTCAAGTCGAGCCAAGTCGAACATTTCATAACGCGACTCGACTCGTTTAACAAACCCAAATCTGTAAATATTTTGCAAACACGATTTGCATACGTTCGCAAACAAACTCAAACTCTTGTAATAAATGAGCTCGATTTCTTGTTCTAGCTGCACTCGTTCAACTAAAAGAACAACCCAAACTCGAGTTTTCACAAATCAAACGAAACAGTGCTTGCGAATCACTTGATTCGAATAACTCTGATCCGACATTAATGTTCTTGATGTGATTCAGACTTCGTCCGTGAATGTGAGTGACGTGGCGTTCAGACATTTGAGGGGAACATCAGCAAGCAATAGAAACGTTAGTGTGATACTGAGGTGCAACAAAGCTGTCCCTTGCACGGGAATCGTACTCGACGATTTGAACATAACGTAACCCTTCGACACAGTGTCGGGCAAGTCATCCTCATGGTCTCTTTGCAAAAACGCATACGGATCTGCTAACACTTACATCCCACCCGCGACTTGTCTGATACAATAGTGTTTCTAAACATAGTGCTTAATTTATGTTTCCCTTTTCCAGTTTTTTCTTTGAATGGAAAGAAAAGCTTGCTTTATGTTTCTAAAGAGAAGCTTGATTTTGCTATTTTACTATATAACATATATAAAATAGTACATATGATTTGCTATTTTATTTTATACATAAATAGTTCTACTATCAAGAGATACCGTGTACATTACACGGATACGCTATACGTCACAAGAATCCGTACGTCCAAACAAGTTGTATCTGTTATCTGCAATATTCTCGTATACAAAATCCCGTATGAATCTGAAAAGGGCAAAAAAAAACAAAAAGAAAGAAATGATTATTGAACAGAAAATAGATCATTTCTTCTTATCGGTTTATATACCCTTAGATTTGTGGAGTAATTTACTTACAGTGGCACAAATTGCAGAAAGAATGCCAGCAGGGGGAACGGCAAATCTATGTATTGCATAATCTTCATTACAGCTTCTGACTT